GACCTGTGTACCCCTGTGTGTGCGTGCGCCTCCCACAGTAACAAGGGCAATAAAGGTCCTTCGTCAACGGCTCGTCTTTCGGCGCTCCGCGCTATTCAGCCACGTGGTGGCTGCTACAGTGGCGGCTGTGCCATCTACACCAGTCGTCATTCGGAATACTTCGGCTGTGAGGGCGCCAAGAGCGTTTTCAATGTACGTTTCCTGTGTACTACATGCGTCTTCGAAGCTGCATTTCTTACTCATTATGCTACCGTTTGTCTGGCCAATTCGGTCAAGTAATCTTCAGCACGTCTTTGCATAAGTGTGCTGCCTATTTGAAATTTATTACAGCACGTTAAAAAGTTATGGGCCTGCAAATGAAAGTATGGCTGGCTGGGGTAATGCCGAAAACGTGCATTTACGCGCGTTAAAGCACGCTACGTGAACTTTACCGCTGTAGAATAGCAAAGCGTATTTTTAGTCACACAAATTACACTTTTAACCGACACAACGGCCTGTTACCATAAGGAATGATTTACCTGGCCTTTACTTATTATATCACACAATTATAACTTTCAGTGTGCACCAAGCGTCCTCAAGCTCTTAAAACGCGTGTCAGCTTTGACGAATTCTGGATAAAATTTGAGATAAAGTAGCAAAACATCAATTTCGGCATTCCCGTAGATCATTTCTCCCATTTTCGGCTTTCCCCGCAGTCCGGGGCAACGCCGAAAAAGTCACTTCTTTGATATTTTTAGTTTGTGCGCTTAAAGGTAGTGTGCCAGCTTTCCTGGACCGTATGGAGTTAATGGCCCAGATAAGGAGAACCAGATTTTTAGAACTTATCCATACCTTCAAAACTCATGGAAACGTCTTAAATTCTTCAAATTTTGAGTACCCCAGTGCGAAATTCGCCCCGACGGGTTGTCGGTCGTACCCCAACCACATTTCACACCACTATGAACAATAAATGCACACACTGAAATCGCTATTACCGATATGCTCATCCAATCAAGTTTCGATAAACCCGTTCATCATCATCTCCTGCGGTTTCGAACACGCCTGTTAGGTGGTGCGGTAGACCGCGCCCAAAGCCAGGGCCCCGGTAACGTGAGGTAGCCGAGTCGGGGCAGCGTGCGCTGACCCAAGCCGGGGCCGCGCGTCCTCCCGGTGTCATGTGATAGCCCGGGGCTGCCCGCGGGGATGCGGTAGACCGCGCCCAAAGCTGCGGCCCCGGCTTGGGTCAGCGCACGCTGCCCCGACTCGGCTACCTCACGTTACCGGGGCCCTGGCTTTGGGCGCGGCTTCTGCTCATACTTTGTGGTGCGGTGGTGGTGCGTCGGGCCGCGCGCTCTGACTTCGGCCAAGAAAAATGCGTCAGCTGATCATTGTCATTTCTGCCACTTGCGTGTGGTGAAATGGGGTCATAACTTAAGAGACGGCTTTTTCATATCAATTATTTTACATAAAATCATATTTCAAACCATAAATAATGTTCGACAGCCAAATAAAAGAAACAATACCACAGGCTTACAGTTTAAGGCTCGACATTGTGTTGTCTACGATTAGACAGCTGATAACTCATTCCCGTACGTCGTAACTCTATAACCGGGGTTACATGAGCGATCCGTTCCAAATACGCACTACGCTAATGCGCATCAGCTCCCCACAAACGTATCTACGGCACCGGTTACATGAGACTAATTCGTTTTATCTACGTCAAACGGATCTTGTTTGGCTCACCCGGGCTGACTCCTCGACAGCCGGTAATTCGCATCACAAACGGAATAGGATTAGCGTACAGTCATGGCGCAGTTGCGGCATTTACCGGGACGACTGAACTAAATTTTAAATATTTATATCATTTGATAGGCTCAAAAACATTTAAAATTAACATGAAATCAAAACATGAAAACAAAGTTTTCTTGTTTTAAGTCACTGTGCACTGATTCGCCATGCAGCGACAGCAAGGTGGTCAGAAAAAAATCATCTATCAAAATATTTCATTCATTTTATTTTTGATCTTTATCAAATGCACCTTCAAAGACTAAACCGAAATACCAACATTTCTTTTTGCTATTTTCTACGAGCCAGCCAAAAAAAAAAATGCTTAGTATTTTGCATTTTGACGCTTCCATTCAGCAAAGAATAGTTCTTGTGAAATACGGCCCGAATCGTGTGCCTCGGTTACATGAGCGATCCGTTCCAAATACGCACTACGCTAATTCGCATCAGCTCCCCAAGAACGCATTCAGTGCACCGACTTCATGAGCAAATTCGTATCAGTGACGTCAAACGGATCCAGTTTGGCTCTCGGCCTGACGGAAGGTAATGCGCACTACAAACGGAATAGCATACAAATGTGGCGCACTTCCGTAGCAATAGAGGTGACTGAATTAAAAACTTAATATCTTATGTCTTTTTTGCATTTAATCTGCTCAAAACATTCTCAATTAACTTTACAAAAAAAAGTTAAACGTAAAGTTGTCTTGCTTTGACTCATTGAGCACTTGCCTCTCTTGATTCGTCTGTAGTGCTGTCAGAAAAATGTTTCAACTGAAAGTACTTTGATATTTTCTTTTTGGTTTTCACTATATTTATTTATGAAAACTTGACAAAATACCGACATATTTTTTTAATTATTATTTCAAAAGAAATAAATAGAAAAAATACCTATTATTTTGCATTTTAATGTTTCTTTTTGGAAAGAAATAGTTCCTGTAATACGTATCTTGGTCCTAATCGCTTCTAAGCCTCTTTCCCAGCGGATTTTGTTCGGACCGCCGATTCGTATTAGCAGGTGGATACATGAGTCGGTAGTACGCTCCTGATTCGCATTAGCGGTGAATCCGATCGTGATACGTATTTGCTTTGCTCATGTAACCGCGGATCGGATCGCCGATTCGTACTAGCAGGTGGCTACATGAGTCGGTAATGCGTTCCTAATTCGAATTAGCGGCTAAATACGTATTTACTGTGCTCATGTAACCCCGATATATAACACTGAACTCTATAATGTGGAAGGCGCATCGGCCGCCAGATGGTGTCCAACGGTGCCGCCATGTTGCGCAGACCAGGAAGCGGCCGCCGCCTGTGTTGGGGGATAGGGAATTCGGGACCTCGATTTACGTTTGCGGTCGCTGCATCCGTTACGTTCAAGCTATGTGGACACGGAACCCGGCGTCTTACGCAGAATTGAGTGGAGAACAAGATGAAATCCTAAAAAATCCTCAGATACAAGGATCTAATACGTTAAACCCTTATAAGTCAATGGGGAAATATGAAAATTGCTATTTTGGCGCCGAGAATGATCTGAAACTATCTCAAGCATATAGAATCATGATTTCATGCAATCTTTGCAAGGTTCTATGCTTCGTATTTGCATTGTTGCCCTTGCGTGGCGTCATTTGTGACGTCACAAAGGCCACAATTTTTCTTCAATAACTCCCGATCAAATTGAGCTAGCGAGTCGGGAAAGCCACCAATGGACTCAGGAAGACCTGCCGAATCGAATGATATGCGACATGACCTCTTTCGACCAACTTCGTGACCTGGGGGTGCTGACCTGACCTTGACCTGAGGTCAACACCCTAAGTTGACCTGACCCGAACAAAAAGTATATCACTCAATGCGCCTGAGCTAGCTGAACACGATGATGCCAAAATCGCGGCTCTACGGCCATTTTTGGCGAAGTTATTTACCAAAAACCGAACCCGTGCCTTAGATCACTTGACCTGACCTCAGAGGTCACCGGTTGACCTGAGACCCTTACAGAGGGCTCCTACCAGTCACTCTGCATTATACTTTGCCGCATACGACCACTTTACCGCTTAATTCTAGTTTAATTAGCGGCGCATTAGCGAGGTGGGTTCAATCAACCCCCTCGGCCGGGGCAAATGTAGGTCCGGCGAGTGAAGTTGAGGAATTCTGAAGATACGATCGTGTACCCCACTCAATTCTGCGTAAGATGCCGGGTTCCGTATCTACGTAACTTGAACGTAACGGATACGGCGGCCGCAAACGTAAATCGAGGTCCCGAATTCCCTATTCCTCAACACAGGCGGCAGCCGGTTCCTGGTCTGCGCAATATGGCCGCCACCGCTAGACACTACGGCCAATAGGGTTGAAGCGGCAGTGCTCCCCTGTGCTCTATAATGACCTTTGCTTATTGTCACATGTGCGCCGCATTCGCGATTGTTGCCGACGCCTGTTTGCAGGTCAGCCCACTACAGTTGTTATACATATCGAAAAACCGATAAACTTGTAGGCGAAAAAGGCACTATTCCAGGCCCATTTTTGATTTTCTTTGCGATATTAGGTAAAAACAGAAGCTTCTTATCCTAGGAAAAATAAAATGGGAAATCTTTCAAAGGTGGCACACTACCTTTAACGGTATGCGAATTCATCAAATGCGCCTGGTATGTTTGAAAGGCAAAAGACTGGCCTCTCGAATGACGCCAACAAGAATAGCTTATGTTGTCTACCTTGCGTGCTACGGGCGTCAGAAAAAAAGTATTCGGCGTTCCCCCAACTTCCCCTATCATGCACAATTTCGATACACATCCGTTTGGTGAACAATAAACAATATGCAGTCAGGGACATAAGGTGCCCGGCTGTCCTGCACGACAAAGGTCTAGCGTGACGCTAGGTCAGCCTCAAAGTTCTGACCACCGGAACAGTCTTGGCCAACGATAAAACACCATAACCTTCGCAACAGGCTATGTTCAGCATCAGCTCTGAGTGGTTAAAAACGTAGGTCCATTCAAGTTTACTCCATCAATTCAAAACAATCCACCAAAGCGTATATAATAACAATATGGTGTTCGAATGATGACTGAGATATTACAAATGAAATCAGATGCTCCGAGTTCCTCAAAAACCAGGACAGTGAATCGATACACTGTGGCGGGCGTGCTTACGATAAAGCATCGGTCGGAAACGCAACCAGCCGTGAGCGGGGCTTCCACTACATGGCATAACCGGCAACGACGATCAACGATTATTATTGTTAAAGAGGCATATCTGCGGGACATGTATTCACTCAGGCAGGATCCGTACAGCACTGACTCCAGCTCCCAGCTCCGGCACGCAGGCCCAGTCCGCCCACAGCCCCAGGCGGTGCGGCCGCACGGCGGTCAGCTGATCAGCGACCGCCGGCCGGCCGGCCAGCTAGAGGTGCGACCGCCGCCCGGCCGGCCAGCTAGAGGTGCAAGTTACCACACTCGCCCTTCCCTTTAACCCGCGCCCTGCTGGGGGGGGGGGGTGTTTGAACACCCCCCCTCGTGGTTTTTCGCGAATATCTCAAAAACGGCGGCGCGGAGCGCCGCCGTTTTTGGTACACCTTATCATACATCAATTCTACACATGTTGTAAAAATTTCAGACCAAGGTGATTCAAGGTCAGGTCACCAGGTCACTTGAAGTGACCTCACCTCATAAAAAGTTTCAATGTCTGTCATAGCTACACCGAGTGACCGATCGCTTTGAAACTTTCAGCGATTGCTAAAAGCAACAGCATGTACAAAATGTATATCTCAGAATTTTGATATCGATGACCTAAGGTCAGGTCAATTTTGCGACCTCCCCATTATAAGTCAAAGGGAGAAAATTGAAATGCGCCTCTTTTGGACGAAAGACATTATAAACACTCCCAAACACCGAATTACAAGTGGTTTAGACACACTGAACATGAAAATGGTGTCCGTGACCCTTGTTTATGCCCTGAGGTCATCTTAGGTCACGAATGGTATCTAACAGTTTTTCGCAAATAACTTTTGATAGAGGCATGCTAGAGCGATGAAAACGCCTTAGATGTGTTCAGCTCGACGATACGGATCGACTGATATGCAACATGACCCTTTCCGGTCAGGTCATGACCTTGACCTGAGGTCAAATTTTCAAGTTGACCTTTCAAGGTCAACTTATAGTTCATTCGATGCGTCTTGACAAGAGGAACACGATGCCGGTAAAAGTAAGCTCGTACAAGGCTTGGGTCAAAAGTTATTGCCGAAAAACTGTTTCCGAAAAAATCGGCTATTTTTGCAGTTTTTGCCCCCTGCAGGCAAAACCGTTGACGTTAGGTCAAATCTGAGAGAATTTCTCAGAAAGGGCGTTAATAGGGCTATCGAATGCGCTTTTCCGCGGCGCAGTAGCTCCATTGGTTCCCGAGTTATGCGTTGGCTTCTTGGAAATTTTCGATATTCGACCTGGAAATCGGCGAAATTTTGCCTTCAATGACCTCTGGTGACCTGACCTTTGACCTGACCAAAAAATTGACCGAGGTGATTTCGTCATTATTTTTGACGCTCTTTCGAACGCCGCCTTCCGCGTATCGCTACGTGGCCCCGGAGTCGAGTTACAGGGGGGGGGTTCAAACACCCCCCCCCCCAGCAGGGCGTGGAAATCCAGGACCCCCAGCCGGGCGCGGGTTAACCCGCGAGTTGCAGGGGGGGGGGGGCGTTAAACGCCCCCACTTTTTTCGCCGGGCCATGGCATAAAAACGGCGCACCGCAGGCGCGCCAAATTTTGGGTACCTGTAGGAAATTGAATGAAGTGTATTATGACAAAGTTTCAAAAAAATCGGTCGTCAAATTTTTGAGATATCGAGGTTTTAGTGACGTCATGATTTCTGAGTTTTCGACCAAAAACGGCATATGTTCAAAAAATCATATAAAATCACAGAATAGACATACAGACATGCCGTAAACGCCATTAGACTGCCAATACCATGAACAATAAAATGGCTGTCTTCGATTATTGATTATCGTTCCGCATTTTCCAAAACCTTAAACTGAATCTTGGCAATTTCTCGTGACAACTTTACGACCATGATACATGCATTTCTTAAGTTGAACTTTTTGAGCCAAACACGCACACATATGATAAAATGAATGCCACCATCGTGTTCTACGCCCCAAATTACCCATAAAACATGTGTCACAGGCTGCGAATATCCGTTTTGATTTTCGGGGATATTTGCCTACCCGGTTGACCTGACCTTGACCCTGACCTATGCTTGACTGACCCCTACATGGAGCTGACACTCTTGTAGGCCTTATATGATGGATTGTGCACCGTTTTGACAGAGTTTATGACGAGAGGCGCCCATTGCGAAGTCCTGAAGTCCATGCTACTGAAAGCCCGATTTCAGGTGTTTGACCTGACCTTGACCCGACCTGTGACCTCAAAATTCAACTTTAAAGTACTCATCTGAAGCGTCTCGTCGCGTTCTTTCGTTTGCCGCCTCGTGCGTTTCGCTGCGCCTATTGGTTCTCGAGTTATCGGCTGGGGGCGTTTAACGCCCCCCCCCCCCTCCCCCCCCAGCAAACGGTGGGTGGCGAAACACCCCAGCAACTGCCGGGTTAAAGATCAACAACTGTCTTTTGTAGGAAGAACGAACACCAGTTCACAACCCAAGCAGTTATAAGTACAATTCAGTCAGCGGCCGCAGCCGACACTCAGAACCGGAAAAAGTCCGTCTGTTTCCGAACTCGTGTGGAGCGCCGGAGGGACGGAGCCAGATCGTCTGGATCAGTCCCAGGTGGCAGCTCAGTTGCGGAGTCTTTGGCCCGGGCGGCCGTACTTCCGTTCTCCTCCGCCAGCTGACCTGCAGGAACGGCAGGAGCACCAGCCGGTACCGCACTGTCAGGTACCGCACTGTCAGGCGGCCTGCGAGCGGCCGCCGCCGGCTCCTCCACCACCGGCAGTGGTCCAGCCAGTCGCCGCGCTGCACACTGGTCCAGAGGCGGAGACGGGACTGGCGCGCTCACATCAGAAGCCGGAGATAGATCAGCGATGGGACGCAACTGATCGAGATGCCGCCGCCAGACACGCCCATCATCCAGACGGATGCTGGCCATGGCGTCACCCGCCAGGTCCACCACCGTTCCGGCCCGCCAGGCCGGGCCGGCGCCGTAGCTCCTCGCATAAACCCTGTCAGACACGAGAACACTCTTAGGGCGACGGCCAGAGTCATAGTGTCGCTTTTGAGAGTCTATGCGACGCTCCACTTGACCCGCCACGTCTGGATGCAGCAGCTGCAGCCGTGTTTTTAGTTCCCGACCGAACATCAGGTATGCAGGGGACACACCAGTGGTAGAACTAGCGGTAGTATGCTGCTTCATTAGCCAGTTAGCAACTCTTAGGTGCAATGACACATCAACAGACTTCTTAAGAGCACACTTCACCTCCCTCACGTACCTCTCCGCGAGACCATTACTCGCCGGATGATGCGGTGCCGTCGTGACGTGCCTGATGCCGTTCCTCTTGACGAACTGTTGGAACTCTCTGCCCACGAAGGCTGGCCCGTTGTCGGTCACCACGGTATCCGGCAGTCCGAAGCTGGTGCACAGAGATCTGAGCCTGTCAACGGTCACACACGAGGTCTGTGAAGACGTGATCTTCACCTCCACCCACTTGGTCATAGCATCTACTACGACCAGCAGGTATTTTCCTCCTTCCGCAGGGCCTGCATAATCAAGATGGACACGAGACCACGGCCTTCGTGGCCAGGACCACTGATGAAGGTCAACTTTGGCAGGCGTCGCTCTTTGCTGCTGACAGGCGGAACAAGAGCGAACGTAAGCATCGATGGCATCATCAATGCGAGGCCACCACACACATGAACGTGCTGCAGACTTCATACTGCTGACACCCGGGTGGCCCACGTGGAGTTCTCTCAGCACATACTCCCACGCCTTATGTGGCACCACCACCCTGTTGCCCCAGAGCAAGACCCCTCGGATAACATACAGCTCATCTCTCCTGATCCGGTATGGTTGCAGGCTCTGGTCCTCCGGCCACTCTCCGTACTGGACGGCGGTCAGCACCCTGCTGAGGAGAGCGTCACGACTGATGAGCTGAACGATCCTCCCGGCATCCAGCGACAGGTCGTCTTCGACGCTCTGCAACAGACAGACACTTTCAGCGGGCTCGTGGAGGCGGTCACCATCTACAGGCAGCGGAAGGCGACTGAGACCGTCTGCGTGACCGATACTCGCAGTCGATCTGTACTCTATTTTGTAGTTGTAGGCGGAGAGTCGCAGGGCCCACCGCGCTATCCTGGCAGAAGCGATCATAGGGATGCCCTCGTTCTCCCCGAACAACTTCAGCAAAGGTCTATGATCCGTGACCAGGATGAACTTCTGGTTACCGAGCAAGTACTGATGGAATCTTGTAACACCAAATACGATAGCTAAGGCTTCACGCTCTACTTGACTCATTTTCTGTTCACTTTTACTCAGGGACCGGGAGTGGAAACCAACGGGTTTTTCCACCCCATCATCATACCGGTGGGAAAGAACGGCACCGATGCCATACGAAGATGCGTCACAGGTCAAAACCAAAGGCAGGCTAGGGTCATAGTGAGCCAGAACCCCATCAGAAGTGAGAAGCTTCTTTGCAGCTTTGAAGGCCTGCTCCTCTGCGTGCTTCCACCTCCAGGGGGTGTCTTTTCGAAGAAGGTCATGTAGCGGTTTCAGGACATTTGAACGATCGCGCAAGAACCGGGAATAGTAGTTCAATATCCCCAGAAAACTTTTAAGCTGCCCAACATTCCCAGGAGCTGGCGCTTCATGGATGGCTCTCACCTTCTTCCCAGATGGATGGCAGCCGGCAGCGTCGATCAGATGTCCCAGGTATTCAACCTCGTCGACGCAGAAACGACACTTCTCCGAAACTCTCAGGCCAGCATCCTGGAATCTCTGCAATACCTGTGAGGTTCGTTCCAAACAGTCAGCTTCGGAGCTTCCGGCGATGAGCACATCGTCCAGGTACACACACACACACACACACCAGACATGTCTCCAACAAGTTTTTCCATCTATCTCTGGAAGAGTGCTACAGCCGAGTTGACACCGAATGGCATTCTGCGATAGCGATGGAGACCCAGGTGGGTATTAATGGTGAGCACATCTCGGCAAGAATCATCAACTACCAGCTGCTGGTATGCCTGACTGAGATCGAGTTTTGAGAACACTTTTCCGCCTGCCAGGCGGCTGAAAATCTCCTCGATCCGAGGCAGTGGGTACTTGTCTACACGGACAGCCTTGTTTGCGGTAAGTTTAAAGTTCCCACAGATCCTCACATTTCCATCAGATTTCAGCACGGGTACAATAGGTGCCCCCCATTCAGAGTTTGAGACTGGCTCCAGCACACCCATAGCTATCTCCTTCTTCAACTGTTTATCTACCTTTTCTCGGATTGCAAAAGGCAGAGGTCTGGGCTTGAAAAATCTTGGATGTACTGTGCGATCTACATCAAGCTTGACTTTGACATCTCTTAGCTCACCCAGACCGTGCTCGAAGACCTGAGGATACTGATTTTTGAACCTATCGACGACAGGCAGGGGGCGTTCGGTACTCACCGAGAAGACGCTTCTCCAATCCAGCTGAATGTGACTCAGCCAGTCTCGTCCCAGGAGATTCGGACCACTTCCCTTCGTGACGATGACGGGAAGCCACCATTCGTTGGAGCCGTAGCGGACGTCCACCACAGCCTCGCCCAGCACAGGTATCTTGTGTCCCGTGTAGGTCCTGAGGACCGACTGGGGCGCCTGCAGCTTGATAGTCGACTCCAGCTGTTTGTAAGTAGACTCATTTATGATAGAACAAGAAGCACCCGTATCCAGCTCCATCACAACATCCACGCCCTCTATCCCAACAGTCACCGTTACCGGTTTCTTTTTGTTACTGACAGCGTGAACGACAGTTTTGATCTGCTCCAAATCGGAATCTGAGTGCTCTGACAACTGCTCATGCTCCCGTGTCCCTCCTTCAGCTCCTTCAGCAACATATCTCGCATCCCCATCACGTTTCTTATCAAATGATGATTTGAACTGCCTCTTTCCAGGTAGGTTCGGTTTCGTATCACGACACACCCGCGCAAGGTGGCCAACCTTACCGCACTTGAAGCAGGTCGTCGCCGTATGACGACATCTCTCTCGACCGTGCCGTCTTCCGCAGCGTGAGCAGCTCGAGAACTGCTGGTCCATCCTGTTGACAGCTCCTTCCCCAGACGGCTCGACCGCTCGTGTGGACGTGCCAGTCAGAATGCCTGCGTCTCTGGAAGCAGCCTCCATGGACAGACACAGCTTTTGTGCACGAGCAAAAGTCAGTTCATCTTCAGCTAGCAGCCTTTTCTGCATCTGCCCATCACTCACACCACACACAAGGCGGTCTTTTAACATGTCGTCCAATGTGACGCCAAACTGACAGTGTTCAGTGAGACGACGCAGCTCAGCAATGTCAAAGCAGACACAGTCTGATCGCTCTTCCTTACGCACATGTTAAATTGAAAGCGCGCCACTGTCACAGACGGCTTTGGCTGCAAATGACGGTCCAACAACGAGACAATATCATCGAAAGATGCGTCTCTCACCTTGTTCGGCGATACCAGGCTCTTCACCAAAGAGTACGTCTCCTTACCACACACGGTGAGCAACACAGAACGCTTCTTGTCACTCTCGGTGATATTTTCAGACTCCAAGTAGAATTCCAGACGTTCCTTCCACTCTTCCCAATTATCCTCACCAGGCTTGAAAGCATCAAAGCCTCTTCCTCTTGAATCACCCGCCATGCCTCAACAAAATTAAGTTCGTAATTGTCCTCGTCGCCAATTGTTAAAGAGGCATATCTGCGGGACATGTATTCACTCAGGCAGGATCCGTACAGCACTGACTCCAGCTCCCAGCTCCGGCACGCAGGCCCAGTCCGCCCACAGCCCCAGGCGGTGCGGCCGCACGGCGGTCAGCTGATCAGCGACCGCCGGCCGGCCGGCCAGCTAGAGGTGCGACCGCCGCCCGGCCGGCCAGCTAGAGGTGCAAGTTACCACAATTATGAGCGGTAATATTTGGATATTAGAGTGATAATAGAGTCATCGATATCAGGAGGCCGCCAAAGTTGCGGCAGAAGCTGATGGACGCTGGTGACATCTATGGAGCAGCGCTCATACTACAGTTACGAAGTCTCCGGAATGGCCAGAGGACGCGCCAGCAGTCGAAATGCCAGCCCAAGCATGGAACAGCCCAATCGATTTGTTTACCATAATTTAGGTATGAAACAGACCAGAACATTGTGCGCTGATGCAATTGACCCCAGAAAATGTCTTGCTTTCAATGAATTTATGTGATCGTGAGGGTCAACATTAGTAGATGCCTTAGCAACGCAAGACTACGGCCGCAGTGCGCTTTCCGTTCAGAGATGCGCTTGATCCTCCTTCAAATCAATTTTCCAACATCCAACTGCCCCACACGCGCCACAATGCATCTCCCACCGTCCCGACCCCTCTGCCCCGTCTGCCGTTCTTACCTGGTGCCGATCCGTCCTCCATTGGTGCTCCGTGTGGCGACTGGTGAGCGGCGCCCGGCAGGCCGGTGGGGAGAGGTCCGTATTGGTGGCCGGAGAATGAGACGCCTGTGGGACGGGGGGCGGGGGGGGGGTTAGAGAAGATATATCTAGGCGGCTGGGCAGCAGTAAACGGGACGTGACATTAGAATAGGCTAGGGTGTACACTGAAGCGAGCACGTTAGTTTTTTATATTATTACTCACAAATTAAAAGAACTTTAACCATTATAAAACAATAAAAATATCAGAAAATATGATGGAGGCGCACAAATTATAAATAAAACACTAATGAATGATAATGAATTGATGGCCTATTGCAAAAGCAAAAAGAGTAAGACAGTCTAACTGTACAAGAATGAACAGATAAAATGCATAAGAAAATGAGCCCTCTCGACCATTCGGCCCCAAACACCCTCCCCCTCCCACCATGACTAAACTGAACCTGCTTGGCCACTGAGCTCCTAACACCCCCCCCCCTCCCCACCGTTCTCACCGTGAGTAGAGGTCGCCGTACTGTCGTACCCTTCGAACTCATTGAGCTGCCCCAGGGCGGCATCTAAACTACCGCCGTCCTCTCCATCACTGAGATCCACCTTCTCCACCTTAATGTTCTCCGACTCGTGCTTCGCTAGCGTCTCACGACCGCGCACCGTCGGCACTGACGATCCTGCTATTGATGGTGAGAATGATGAAGACGGTGCTGCCCCTGATGATGTGAATGTAGATCCTGATGTCGCAGATGGTGTGGTAGAGGAAGATGCTGGTAATGAAGGCGCTCCGTCAGCCCCTCCTCCCGTTTCTGCTGAACCCGGTGCCACAGCTGAAGCTACCGTAGCTGTAGCTGAAGCCACCGCGGGTGACATGGCCACGGGACTCGGAGACGGTACGGACTGGTCCGACAGTACGACGGGCGTCTCGGGGCGCCGGGCCGGTGAGGGGGCCGGCCGGGGCCACGCTGGTACGGGTCCAGAGGACAGGGGCGCGTCCCCGGAGTCTGAGGTCCTGCGCCGCTTGGGTGACGGGGTGGCCAGCCGCGGCGGCAGCGGGTGGTGTCTCGGGGGCGCCGGTCGGGGCGGCGGCGCAGGGGCCGGGTCCGGCGGCTGCGGAGGGGACAGAATCAGGATCAGAGTTTGATACTCTGTGGTAATTAGTCAAGAAACAACTATTAGTCAATCAGAGTTATAACAAAAACTAGTAGATATTTAACAAACAACTAGAATAGTTTTCGGTTAGGGAGGTAACAGAATTAAAACAAATCCCCTAATATTCTCCAAATAACATTTTTCTCCAATAGTTTTCATATCTCCAAGTAACCATTTTCTTCCTCCCCGCCCAACATCTTTTATGTTCCTAGTTCCTACCCTCCTACTCTTCACTCTCCTTATCCATACCTTTCCCACAGACTCCCTCTCCCACCCTTCCTATCCCCTCCACTCTCCCTCCCCCACATCCCTCTTTCTCCCCACACCCACCTTATCCTCCTCGCCACTCAGCCCCCTGATCTGCAGCATCTCAGCCGTCTTGATGAAGCTGGCCAGCTGGCTCTGGGACACGTTCACACTCCCCTTGTATATGAACTCCACTATGGCGCTCAGGTCGGCGGCAGTGGTATCCTTTAGGAAGATGGCCATCTGCTGGCACGATATGCTCTGGCAATGGAGAACAATGAGTCAAACGTAGATCAGGTCAAGATAGGCAATAGGCATTGATCGAAACCAATCAAAAAGCACAGACTGAGCATAGAAGAAGTAGGCGCATCTTCTACCACCTCCGGCTCCTCCTCCTTGACGACTGGAGCAGCCGCCTCCGCCCCGACGCCTGCCGCCGTCAAACGGGCGACGACGGCGTCCACCAGCCGGTCAACGTCGACGGCGGCGGCGTCCGGCTCCGACCCGGCCCCTGACTCGGCCATCGCCGCGCCGGACCGTAGACGGCGCGGCTCCGTCATCCCACCCGGTAATCGATCCCGAGTCCGGAGTGGGCGCCAAAAACTGAATCACCAAATCACTTTCACTTCTTCTGTTGGCCCTGCTCGGGCCGTGTATTTGTGACCACACCTGAGTCGAGACTTCTACTTCTTCTGTTGGCCCTGCTCGGGCCGTGTATTTGTGACCACACCTGAGTCGAGACCAGGGCGTATTTTAACATGTTAACTGGGTCGGCAATTGCCGACCCAGTCACGGAGAATGCCGACCCAGTGACAGCCGTTTGCCGACCCAGTTGCCGCCCCCTCTAGGATGCAGCACGCACATGCAGGCTAGGTGCCGTCATTCATAGTGAGGCTGCTGCCCTCCGAAATGATAATGCCGCCTCTTAAAGTGAAGCAGCCGTCTATAGAAAGTGATGATCCCGCAACTCAATGTGACAGTGCCGCCCCTAAATCTGTTAGTAGCCCCACTCAATGTAATGGTGCCGCCCTTCTAAGCATCTGTGGAGCCCCTCAATGTGATGATACCGCCCCTCAAGAAGATGATGCCGCCCCTTTCAGTAGCGGTGGCGCCCCTCAATGTGATGGTGCCGCCCTCAAAGTGCCGGTGGCGCCCCTGAATGTGATGTTGCTGCCCGCCAACTATGGTGGTGCCCCTCAAAATGATGCTGCCGCCCCTTAAAGTGTTGGCGCCGCCCCTTATAGTGTCAGCCACGCCCTTTGAAGTGTCGGAGGAACCCACCAATATAATGGTACCGCCCCTCTAGGTATCCACATAGCCCGTCATTGTGATGGAGCCGCCCCTCAAGCAGATGATGCCGCCCCTCAAGAAGATGATGCCGCCCCTGAATGTGATGGTGCTGCCCGCCAACGAGTCGGTGGCGCCCCTCAAAATGATGCTGCCGCCCCTTAAAGTGTTAGTGCCGCCCCTTATAGTGTCAGCGACGCTCTTCGAAGTGTCAGAGGAACCCACAAATATGATGGTGCCGCCCTTCTAGGTATCCACATAGCCCCTCATTGTGATGGAGCTGCCCCTCAAGCAGATGATGCCGCCCCTCAAGAAGGTGATGCCGCCCCTTTCAGTATCCGTGGCGCCCCTCAATGCGATGGTGCCTCACTCAAAGTGCCAGTGACGCCCCTAAATGTGATGGTGTCTCCTGTCAACGAGTCGGTGGCGGCCTTCAAAATGATGCTGCCGCTCCTAAAAGTGCTGGTGCCGCCCTTACAGTGTCAGTGGCGCCCTTCAAACTTTTGGAGGAACTCATCAATACAATGTTGCCGCCCTCTAACTTTCTGTAGCGTCCCTTCATATACATAATGGTGCCGCTTCTCAAACCATCCGAGACGCCCCTCAAAGTGATGGTGCCGCCCCTTACAGTGTCGGTGGTGTCTCCTCAAAAGTCAAGGTGCCGCCTCTCAAAGAAATGCTGTTGTCCCTCGAAGTGTCGGAGGCGCTTCTCAATGTCATGTTGCCGCCCCTCAAACCTTCCGTAACGCCCCTCCACAGTCCACGTCATTGTGCCCCCCCCCCCCCCATGTGCTCACGGCGCCCTTAAATGTGATAGAAGCGCCGGTCAAAGTGATGACTGTGCTCCTGGCAGTGTCGGTGGCGCCCCTTATAGTGTCGGTGGCGCCCCGAACAGTATCGGTGGTGCCCTTCAAAGTGATGATGTCACCCTCAAACAAACGGTGGCGCCCTTCGAAGTATCGGAGTCCCTAAATATCATACCTATTGCCGCCCATTAACGATCTGTAGCGCCCCTCCATATGATGGAGCCGCCCCTCCGCGGCGGTCCTTAACCCGCGCCCGGCTGGCGCTGGGGGTCCTGGATTTCCACGCCCTGCTGGGGGGGGGGGGGACTCTGAACACTCCCCCCCTTCTAACTCGGCTCCTGGGCCACGTAGCGATACGCGGAAGGTGGCGTTCGAAAGAGCGTCAAAAATAATGACGAAATCACTTCAGTCAATTTTTTGGTCAGGTCAAAGGTCAGGTCACCAGAGGTCATTGAAGGCAAAATGTCGCCGATTTCCAGGTCGAATGTCGACAATTTCCAAGATGCCAACGCATAACTCGGGAACCAATAGAGATACAGCGCCGCGGAAAAGCGCATTCGATAGCCCTATTAACGCCCTTTCTGGGTAATTCTCTCAGATTTGACCTAACGTCAACGGTTTTGCCTGCAGGGGGCAAAAACTGCAAAAATAGCCGATTTTTTCGGAAACAGTTTTTCTGCAATAACTTTTGACTCAAGCCTTGCATGAGCTTACTTTTACCGGCATCGTGTTCCTCTCGTCAAGACGCATCGAATGAACTATAACTTGACCTTGAAAGGTCAACTTGAAAATTTGACCTCAGGTCAAGGTCATGACCTGACCTGTAAGGGTCATGTTGCATATCAGTCGATCCGTATCGTCGAGCTGAACACATCTAATGCGTTTTCATCGCTCTAGCATGTCTCTATCAAAAGGTATTTGCGAAAAACTGTTAGATACCATTCGTGACCTAAGATGACCTCAGGGCATAAACAGGGGTCACGGACACCATTTTCA